TTTAAAATTGTTGGAATATAACAGGGCCAGGTCCTTTATATAGCCATTTACAGCAATAATTTTATTGTCATTCAATAGCTCTCTTCAATTACAACCTTTAGTGTTTGATTATTAATGATTTGTTTTTAATAATGTAATTATTAAAGAATTTTTACTAGCTAAATTTGGCAAAATCGAATAACATTGTTTTAAAGTTTGTTTTTTATATTGCTAACAATGATATTGTTAGAATTTATTATTCTAAAGAAAAAAATAACTTATAAATTCAACCATTTGTTTTGCTATGTTTGTATAAATGATCATAAAATTCTTAAAAAAAATATATATATTCGTTTTCGCCTAATTTTTGTCATCTATTTTTGATATTAATATACCAATACTATGTCTACTATAACAACTAAATCTTTTTTTAAAAACTCCTCTTTGGATATCAGTAACTTGAATCAAATTACAAACAAACTAAATAAAAAAAAAAAAATCTGCACCTATTTATAAATATCTTGATATACTTGAAAATGGCACCTATACTTGCAAGGCTTGTGATAAAGATAATATAGGTAAATAGGTTTAATGCATATTATTAATACCAATAACATGCCATTTTGAACAAAAACATCCAAATATCTTTAAGAAATTTTGAAAATCAAAATCTATTCACACTTCTCTATAATTATTTAATGATAGTGATTGTATAAAATTATTAAACCATAGTTTATTAGAATTCATCATAGTTAGTCAACAACTATTTTTATTTATCAACGAAAATTATTTTATTAATTTTGTCTTCACTCTTGACTCACATTATAAAATCTCTTGCTGTCAAACCATTTCTGAAAATATTAGACAAAAATTTGAATTAGAAAAAATAAAAATAAAAGAAAATTTAAAAAATAATCAAAGTAAACTAGCTTTTACTCTAGATATATGGACTGCATGCACTCAGCAGCCCTTCTTTAGGGTTACTATTTATTGAGTTGATATAGAATAGATGATATATACTATCCTTCTTGATTTTATTTCTTTATACAATGCCCATACTGGTTACTATCTTAGAGAAAATATCTTTAAGCTCGTAGAGAACTTTGAGATTAAGGAAAAGATAATTAGATTCACTAAAGATAATGCATCAAATAACCAAACTTGCTTGTGTTACTTTTATCAAAATATGAACCCTAATTTGATATATGTATGTTATGTTACATATGTCTTAAATATTATCATAAAAGAGTGTCAAAAAGTTTATAAAGACCAGATAAAAAAGGCACAGCATTTTTGTAATAAAATTAGATATTCATTATTACTCCTAGAAGATATTAAAAAAATATCAGCCATTCTAAATTGATCCTTTCTTTATCCTGAACTTGATATTGATATGAGGTAGAACTCTACTTACCTTATACTCAAACATTTAATTGAAATTAAAGATATTGTTAATGGTCTTGTACAGTCATACTCTTACTTAAAAAATGAATACCTGAAGCCAAATGATTGGAAAATTATTAAAGACATGCTAGAATTTCTTCAACCTTTTTATAAAGCAACATTGATACTTTCAAATGCTTTATTATCTTTTAATAGATCTTTATAGATAATTGTCAAAGGCCTTTTTGCATATTTAAATAATTATATTTTAAATAATAATGCATATCATAAAGTGGTAAAAGGAATAAAAATGAAATTAGAAAATTACTGGCCTTATCTCTCATGATTTTCTATGATTTCTGCATTTCTCGATCTGTCTACTAAGCTTGAAACTTTTAATGAAACAGAACATTAATTAGTTATAATTCAATTAAAAGAATTGTATTTAATGTATTACACTAATAAGATGACTGAGTCACCTAAATGAAACAATTCTTTAAACAGTTTTCATAAATTAGTGCAACTAAATAAAATTGAAGAGACAAATTTAACAAAAGATTTAACAACTAAAATAACCAACTACCTTACCTTATCTCCAGAACCAAATACCAATTCCTTAACATGATAGAAGCACAATTCCACCTACTTTTCAACTTTAGCTTCTATTGCAATAGATCACTATGCATTTCAAGTTACAAGTGTTCTATGTGAACACACCTTTTCTATCCAAAGCATACAATTAGTTTTATATAAAATCATTTTCTTGAACAAATGACCAGAGCTTTATTGTGTTTAAAAAATTAGATAGAAGTTAGTATTTTAGAATAATTAATAAATAAATAAATAAATTAAATAAATATAAAATATCAATATTATTCTGTATTAAAAGTTTTTAAAGAAAATTAAATGGAATTTTGTATTACTTGAATAATTATATGATATCACAAATTTCATATGATAGAATGAGTCTTTGTTTAAGTCTAACTCTGAACCGAGTTCAAATAAGATTCAACTTCTGGAACTGAGTCAGACCAAACTGAACTTTTAATATTCTTAATCCCAATCAAAAGTAGACTGCTTATCTGGCTACTTAAAGCTGTACCAGAAAGAAGTTTTTTTTTCTGAAACAAGTATTAATTGTCTTTAATTCTTTTTTTAAATTCTTTCTTTTTCTTAAAGAGCTAAAAAAAGAGAAATATTATAAAATTAAATATAAATAAGAATATAACTAAAAAAACTAAAAGTAAATAAACAAAACCCAAATCAAAACAAAACAACAAAACAAATACATAATAATAAGAAAAAGAAAAAATAAAAAAAAAGCTGAAGCCTCAGTCAGAGCAAATTATAAAAATTATATAATAGTGTTATTTTTAGTCTCTATTCTAGAAATAGGTTTATATTATATATAAATATCATTCAATGATAGAGATATCAGCATTTAATTTTTTCTTCACCAGTTTTATAACTAACTCTTTTATTCTAATTAGAGTTATTCTTAATTCCAAAAAAGGGATAATTCTCCTATTTTCAAAATAGATGATTTCTGTAGATCTTTCATAAAGAATACACTAAATTCTCATTTCTTGTAAAAATTTTTATCAAAAACTAAGCGAAGAATATGATAGTGATGTTCAGTTAACAGGTATCCTTGAATTTCTAATAAATGTGTTGAAAACTTGTTTATTGTTCTCTTATAAAACTTACTATTTTAACTTTGTTAACAGAAACTGAGACTTCTATTAAAATTTGTTATACAAAAACACTTTCTGCCAGTTATCTTGTATATGCATGCTTTTAATTTACTTGCTAAATATATAAAGAAGTCCAATATAATAGAACTACTTTGATCTTTATAAAAACCATTATTTATATAGTAACCTCTTCTACTTTCTCTAATAAGTTTTCTGTTTTTGTTGGTATGAAATTCGGTACAAGTGATCATTAGAAAGAGTTGTGTGTAATTAATATTTTATATTAATTTGCCTTCTAGGTATTATATATATAACTATTAATATGTATTAAGTATTTAAAATTAAGGTTTTGTCTAACTGTACTAAATATTAGAAATTACATTACATAGTTTAAAATAAAACAAAACCGCTTAAAAAATATATATATATATAATAAAATATTTTGTTATTAATAAATTTTATTTTTTTTTTAGTTTTATTGCTGTTTTAATTATAAAAATTTTTAATAAAACGTATAAGCAATAATAATTATTTGCAATACCAATTAAAATTTAAATAAAATTAAATATTACGGCTTCAATTTTGAATTTTGAAAGTTTTAAACATTTTTACGTACTCATAATATACTGTATATTAGCTAGTTTTGAAAAATGATACTCCGGTAAAAAGTATATACGTAGCAAGTCTTGTTTAAAAAATATGTATTAAGTAAATTGTATACATGTTATGGTCAAATTTATACGTATACGTACAGTATTTTGAAACAGGTTTGCATTATGCAGATTTTGACAAAAACTGTATATTCTAATGCATTGACAAAAATACCCGATAAGTACCAAAATACCCAGTATAATGCAGTAGCAAATGAAAAATCACGTGCGTTACACAGCTATTTACATCACATGCACATATAAATAATATTTTAAAAATTGTAAAAAATTATTTATCACACCGTCAGTGCACTCTAACCAAATTAATATCTTCACGTGATTTAAATACAATGCGGTTATCGTACGATTGTTATATAAACTTCTACATTGGTAAATAGGCGGCAGGGTGAAAAATATTTATCGATATAGTCAAAAATATCGATTTATATCAATTTACCAAGAGTGGCCAATCAGAATGTACTATTCGGTGTAACATAATATAACATGTAACTTTCCGGCAAGCATGTTTTTCTGTTTGTTGATTGTCTAACGTTTCCGAAACTTACCGACAGTTCAGGTTGGCCAAATTTGTATTGTCCGGCCCAAATTATACACTTAATTTTGCCCGAAGTGGTATTATTACACCGCATTAAAAATTGCAAAGAATATTAAAGAATATCGATTTGGCCTAAAAATATCGATTTACATATAATCAACATAAATCGATATTTTTCACTGTCCCTGATAGGCGGTGTAACAAATGGCTATTTTAATATTTATAGATTGTGGTATACCACAATAGTTATAAATAGACCCCACAACACAAGTGTTACTCATAATTCTCACAAGATATATTTGTATTTTTATCTTTTTGCGCTATTCTTAACCAAATTTTCACACTTCATTTTTTGCTCCTCTTGGCACTTACATATCAAGTTTTATTATAGAAATTCGTGGTAAAAAAAGAACAACCAAGAATAAACTCTCACAAACGCGTCCATAAATAAAAATTATCTCAACTTAAAATTATTCTTCGCTTCTACAATGTAAGTATTTTTAAAGAACGACTTACCAAATTTACTTTTTATCACTTTTAAATTAGCTCCTTTTTTAGTCCATTTTCCCTTTGCTTTTTTTCTTCACAAACTTTTCCTTAAATTTCAGTACCAAAATGAACAATCAAGTAAACTGGCATTTCAGCCCTGTTCATTCTTTTAAAAAAACTAATTTGATACGATTAACTAATCCATTATAATTATTCATGTTCTCCGCAGTTAAACGAAAAGGATAAAATATGGGTCGTAAAAAGATTCAGATAAAACCTATTAAAGACGAGAGAAATCGTCAAGTAAGATATCTTGATATTTAAAGAGAAAACTTGTCTAATTATCATTATTGAATCCTTTTATGAATTCATTGACTAACGCTTTACTTTGCGTTGTGTCAGGTGACTTTTTTGAAGCGCAAGTATGGGCTTATGAAGAAAGCTTACGAGCTCAGTGTATTGTGCGATTGTGAGATCGCATTAATTATTTTTAATTCAAATAATAAGCTTGTTCAATATGCGAGCACGGATATTGACAAAATCTTATTGAAATACACTGAGGTAATTTATTGGTTTTTGAAGATTGCTACATCTTAATGATTGTTATATTTAAAAAAACTTTATGCATTATTACAGTACAGTGAACCTCATGAAAGTAAAGGTAACCATGATGTAAGCCTAACGTAAACTTCTGTAGTTACCTATGAATTAGTTAAATGTTTCTATAGTGATGGCTAATTTTGTTTACTTTTTTTACAGTTTGCTAATGCTACTGATGATGATGATGATAATCCTCCACCGGGATTTGATACCACTAGCGACCATAAGGTTTGAAATTTAGTTACAACATAACAGATTGTTATATTCCATATGCTAAGGATTATATATATTCACCAGCGATATGGTATGCCATCCCCACAACAGACGTATTCCTCAACACAAGTATCCGGACAATCCGGTCCATATTCCATTAATAATTATCCTATGTACGCACAATCTCAACATCAGCAATTTATGGTTCAACAGGTATGGAAATTTTCGGGGGTTTTTTTCCTTCTTTTTTGTGGAATTCATTCATTCATAAATCGGAATAACATTTTCTGATTGGGCATAAATATAGACCCAACAATTTTATCCACAGGTTACTCAAGCCATGCATCAATCCATGACACCCATGTCTTTACCAATTACGAATGTGCCTATGCAGGTACCAGCTTCTATTGCACCCAATGTACCTGTAGATGTACCCACAACCACATCCATTTCGTCTCCTCAATTATCAAGCTCTAATACACAGAGCTTACCTATGTCTCAAACTCCACAAATTGATACAAACGGGGATCTCATGTCACCTTCACTCATAACATCTTCTCCAAAGAAGCCAAAACTCCGTGTTCAAATTCCGGAGGCAAAAGAAAAGCAGTCAACCCCTAATGCAGTACAACAACCACAGACAATTAAGTCTGATCCATCACCAGAACAAGAAACTATTTCTGACCCGCAGCAAACGATGATATCACAACCGGTAAGTCGATATTATTCTTTTTAACATCACTTTATTATCATATACGCATTAATCACTAATGCTAAAATATTTTGTAATTTAACAAGCTGCAATCGTCTCGCCCTACTCCGGGTACCACTGAAACGGGTCCGACGTCTGCCTTGCCTTCTCAATTTGCACAGAATTTACCATCACCATCAACCTTTTTTTCAGAATTTTATAAAACAGCCGAATTACCAAGTCCCCTCACATTTGGTAATACACCCACAAGTGCTAATCCCGGAGCTTTTCCTTGGCCAGCTCCTCGTATGAATTACATGCATCAACCTTCACCATTGGCCAAGCATGAATCTAGTTCTAATCCATTAAAGAATCGACCAGCGCCAACCGATGAAGAAGAAGACGGTGATAGCGAGCCAGAAAAGAAAAAGACGAAACAATGAAGAGTTTATAATGTTTTTTCGTTTGGTGTTTTTGGACATTTTCAATAAAATGCCTTTGACCCTTAAATTTTTTAGAACAAAAGTTCAGATATACTTGGCCAATATTTTTAATATATTAAACTAGCGTGTTTATGAAAAATTTTTTTATTGACATTGGGATTGTGTTGTCTGATCCATTTTAATGTTTTAATTTAGAATAGTAATGATATCGGATCAGAAGTTATTTTGTGTGGATTTTTAACTATTTTTTTTTTTCTTATCGGACTTTTTCAAAAAAAAAAAAGACAATTCTCTTCATCCTATCTCTTAACTTTATGTCACATATCTTTTTGCCGTTGTCTATATTCCCCTGTATTATATAACGAATCTATACCCTTTTCTTTTATAACATATTTCGATTTTACCATTTTAACCATTTGTTATCTATATGATTTAAGATTTATACTGCGACAGGGATGAAGATTAGCAAATTAGCAATGTTTAACCATGATTTACTTTGTTTTCGTAATTCATTAATACAAATGAGAAATACTTTTTCTCGACGGACATTTATCTAATTTCTTGGTAATTTTTTGATACTTGTTCATTTAAAATATTAATTACAACTTTTTATTAAATCTGAATACGGTCAATTAAATACATTTAAATTCTGACTTTAAGCCTTGTAAAACTATTCCGGTAGGCCTCAATCCACGAAAAAAAAGAGAACTACAATATACGCAGGCTATTGCAACAAGTTCAATCTTTTTAGCAATGACTAGTGCTAACGCAAATAGATTTAATTTCATTTTACACATACTAAGACTTTACAGTTAGGTTGAATCGGTCTGGTCCAGTCCGTCTCGGTTCCTAATAAGACTGGTCTAAGTGTTTATTGACCCAAACCATCTTATGGGCATTTTATTGGCTAGTATAGGTTATTTAATCTACAAAGTTTTATAACTTTGAAGCATATTGCTCAAACGTTAAAGATGTCTTTGGCAAACGAGTTGATTAGAATATTTTAATGCCGTAACATGTACAATTTTAGACTCAGTGAGTATTTCATATAGAATCTAAAACTAAAATCGAGGCGTTTTGTACGATTTCTAAGGGCAAGGATGATACGACTATTATCTGAAACAATAAGGCCATGCAAAATTAATTGATTGATTTTCATAACCTGGCCGGGTCAAAATTCGAAAACTTGTAAAAAAATTTAAAAAAAAAGCCGACCGGCCGGGTCTGTTTAAAATTTTCATGTCATGAATATCAATAAATTAAATTTGTGTGGCCTAATGAGGATGACCTATAGAGATATTGTGTGTACAAGCTAAAGGCAATGTAAACTTTAAATCCTATTTTCCGAATAGTTTTTTTTTCAGCTTCGGAGAGGATTGAGACGAGCACGATAATTATGTTTCTTTCTTTTGCTGCAAGTTAGATTGAACCATGCTATAACGCGTACTTGCTATTTAAGCACTAACATTAATTCGAGCTCGTTAATTCACACTATTTTTTGCTTTATTTCGGGATCATGAACCAGTTTTTTTGATACTAATAATTACTATAGATAAGGGGATCTTGAAAACATTGAGATGTTAAGGCAAGGACTTCATTGTTTTCTAATTGGAAACAATGGTTGTGAAAGAACGTTGATTTGTAAATACGTATAAGATTATACATATAAATAAAAAAGAATAATTTTTAATCTGATTACTACATGCAACTAATATACGTATTTGAAATTGTATTTAAAATTGTTGAAAATATGCTAGAAGCTTAGGCAATAATTTTATAGAGGATATAATATTTTTTAAAGTTTATTTAAAATTGAAATATAAAGTAATTATATATAACAATAATAATCTTTAAAACATATTAACTTTTATATAGTTTTTTTTTTTAATTTTTTTTACTTACAGTTTTATTGCTAATTTATTTAGAATTGTGTTTTTATGCAAACCAATTTTTGAATATCAATTACAATATAATTACTTTTATAAGTACCCTGCTAGCATTAGTTAGTAAAACTAAAGATAATAATGTATTAATGTCTCAAATATTATATTATATTTAAAAGGTTTATTTAATTACTGTTTTATAGTGAAATATTATTAATATAATAACATTTTGTAAAAAAACAAAAGAAAAAATAGTTAACACTAAAAAAAAATAGTATGGCTTTTATTTTTAATATTTAAAAAAACAAAAATAAAAAAAAACAAATATATATAAATAAGAAGCAAGAAAAATATAAAATAAAAATATAAAATAAATACAAAAAAAAGGAAAATTCTATTTTGACCGGGTCAAAATAACCTCACCTAAAATTTAGGGTTAGTGCAGGCCAAAATTATGTTGATACCGACTAGGGTTTTTTAATATAAAAATCCGGCCGACATTAACGGTTCTCACTAACCCTAAATTTTAGAAGTGGTTATTTTGACCCGGGTCAAAATAGAATTCCCAAAAATAAAATATAAATTATATAGACAGTTATTAATAAAAATTAGAAAATTTAATACATATTTTATAATAAATAATATTTTAATTTTCATAGTTAATATTTTAATTTTTCTTTAATTTTAGGCAATTTTACTAAATAATTTTTTATTAAGATTTTGTTTAATATATAACCATTTTGATTTAAGTATAAGCTTAACATTTTGCAATTATTTCTATAAGCACTTACAAGTAATTTGCTAATACTAGTTTAATAATATTTAAGTATTCTAAAAACTAAAAAGTTAATTTAATTATTACTTTATTTTTTTTTTTTTGGTATAAAGGTAACCTTTTTGGTCTTTTAACTTTATTAATATATTTTTGAGAATGTAGTTTTATAAGAAGTTATTACAGAAAGAGTATACAATTGGTTATTCATATAACTTTTTATATTATCTATTTAAGAAGTCCATCTAATGTTCTTTACTAATTGTTATACTTAATCTTTCTGCTTGGATGTTTTATTTTAAACTCTTTGAACCTGTCTTATATTACTTTACCAGGTTAAGATTAGATTCTTTGTCTCAATCTTAGAACATTTTTATTCTCAAAATAAATTTTTTAAAGTTTGCTATATATTTATTTTTGCAATTGATCTAGATATTACTATGGCAAAACCAATATTTGCAATTAGAGTTAATTATTAAATTACTATGTTCTTGTAGAGTTTATCTAGATTCCAGTATTTATTTCATAGCATATTCTTAGTACTTTAATATACTTCTGTTTTTTTTATTAAATTTCTAATCTAAATAGCTTATATAAAATTATAACTAGTTTATTAGTATATTAGATCAGCTTAATATCTTTTCTCTTTAGTCTGATTTGACAACCTAGTTGCTGATACCTCTGAGACTTTCAATTCAGAGATCCTTATTTGTTTAGTTACTTTGATATTGGTATTCATTCTTAAATCTAGTTTTTATAATGATATTATTAAAGATCTGTATTATCTCTTTACTTAGGTTTTTTCAAATGGGTTTTTTGTTCTTTAATTTTTACAGATTTATATAGTTACAAAAATTTATTTTGGGTTTGCATCATCTAATATTAGTTTGTATTTTTTTATATAATTAGTTACACAGATGTCTTATAATCTGTCAGTCATACTAGTATGACCATAATTATAAATATCTTAATTCAATTATTAGAAACAGTTACTATAATACAAGATTACATAATTGATTATTCAAATTTTTGTTATAAATAGGATTTAAATACCCAATCTAATTAATTTAATAATATTTTTTATAAGCAATAAAATGCAATTCTTTTCATTGATCCTAAATTTCCAAATAAGACTAAAAGCAAATATATAGAAAAACATAAAAACAGCCTAATAAACTTCATTCTGATTTCTAAAAAAAAAGACTCAGCAAACAAAATACAACTACTTTGTCTTAACAACAATATAAGCAAAGTTTTGTTAAATAAAAACTGTAGCTGACTTCCAAAGTTTTTTAAAAATTTTCAAGAAAATTAGAAAATAGTGCTAGATTCAGAAAAACAAAATTAGAAGCACATAACTAGTATACAAAATAAACAAAGCCAAAACAACATGTCATGTTATACTAAACAATAAAAAGTAATAATAATTAACCTGATTAGAAAATAATAAATAAGTATAGCATATATAGCAAATAGATGAATAAATATCAGAAAAGTCTAAAAATAGAAATACAAACAAGATTGAAACTACCATATAGCACAAACCTAATACAACATATCAGAGATTTCAGTAATAGAAATAGAAAATATATAAATAGCAAAATACTAGATTCAATCCTATTAAAGCTGATAAATATTTCAAATAACTTAGAATATATAACAAGAGATCTAGCAATCTATGATCCAAAAAATATAATATTAAATAACCTACTTTGATATAGCCAAATTTTAGAAGCACTTAAAATAGCAAAGATATATACAGTGTTATATAGTATTATAAAAGAATAAGCAATGAAACTAGCAGCAATAAACATAAATCCAGGGTCATTTGATTACTAAAGAAATGCAAATAAAAGATAAATATCTAAAGAAAAAACAAAACTAGAAAGAACAGAAAAAACAAAAAAAGTAAAAGAAACAGAAGTAACATTGTCTATAGAAAAAGAAAGTCAAGAAGGCAACAATGAAAAAAAATAAATAAATCAAGACTTACAAAGAGTCATAGAATAAATAAAAGAGCTAAGCATTTTAATCATGCATTAACCAAGTTCTGAAAGTTTTCAAAATATATTCAAGAAAAACTGCTAAACATAACAAGAAATAAAAACAACAACTAAAAAGGAATAAATAAAAAAAAACCAAGATTCCTTAAATAACAAAAGAATATATAAACTTAAAAAGAACATTAAAGAAATAAACAAAAAAATTGCTAAACTAAAAACAAAAAAAAAGACAAAAAATTCCAAAAATAACAGACATAATAGAGCAAAATCAGTGGTTATCAAAAAATCATATATATGACAAAAGCAGATCATTGAAAACAAACATACTAACATATCTAGTAC